CAATGGTAATTTTTCCAGTAAAATTCTGGGATCGTTTGGTATGTTTTCTATATTCATTTTATGTAACACTCCCAATAAAGCTTTCAGTGCAGTATGTGGTATGTTAAAATTCAGCTCCCATTGCCGCAAAAGCTGAACGTTACTTTCCACTATATTATCATTATTCTCAGAATTGTCACTGTCCTCGTAATCAATAAATTCAAAATTGACTTCATCTATAATTTGATTATCGAATTCCTTAGTAGATATTTGACGAGACGAAGAAGGAAGCTGGACCATATTGAAACCCAATTTCTTATTATTTGGATGCACACTTTGTTTACTTTTATTTAGGCGCCTATTATATGCACCGGTCTGTCCAAATTTTCTGAATTTTGATATTTTACCAAATAGCACAGTATTTTTTCCATGACGCTGTTAAGTCCACAAAAAGGATTTGAGGTTAGCAATATTTGGTGATTTTTTTTTTGATTTTATTGCCATTTAAAATCCAGATTAATGCCAATATATGACTTCAAAGCATAGTTGTTAGCAAGCAGTAAATGAGGCATTAATGTATGCAATAATTCTAATTTAAATGCCAACTAGCCGCGCTTTTATTTGGCATTTAGAAAAGCAATTAATTCTACTTTTTGATGAGTGTCTGTGGCCTGTTGGCAATAAATGCCAATTCGCTCTTATATTTAGTAGTCAAAGCGATTTGACTGCTTCAAACGAATTCTCAAATAAAGCCTTAATCAAATGCTAAAAACGGGCTAATCTTTGGCCTTTTTTTCGCATTTAATGCTTGTGCCAGCATTATTTGCTAGTAGTAGAGTTTTGTGTTACTTGGGTAATGTTCAGCATACTCTTTCCAATAACAAATATTTGCCAAAACTATCTATTGATATAGAAGGAGCATATATGATAGCGTCTGCTAAACAATATTAAAAAATAAGATGAATAACTCATTCCACACAACTCCCCAACTTGCGGAAACAATTGTTGATTTTTATACACAGAGAAAGTTGTATATAAGAACACATAATAATAAAATTATAGGACCGAGATATAATAGTTCTGGCATTCCGCAGGGTTCAGTATTGAGCCCCTTGCTGTTAAATATGTATACTGCCGATTTTCACGAAATGTGTATTAAAAATTCATTTTTCAAAACAATACAGTATGCTTCTAATTGGTTTATAAGTAACGGTTTCCTAATGTCACCCAGTAAATCTAATGTCTGCATTTTTTCACGACACAATGTCCCAAATATCGAAAAACTAAAATTAAACGGTAACGATTTCCCTTTCTGCAAATCGATTAAATATTTAGGAATGGTTCTGATAAGAAATTGACCTGGAAACTACATATTGATCATATGCTAAATAGATGCAATAGGGGTTTAAATTTCTTGAAATCAATATCGAAAACCTGGTGGGGAGCGGATGTCGAAACTTCTTTATTATTTTATCGATGGTACATTAGATCCATTTTAGATTACTTTAGATACTTTATGGATCAGCAGGTAATCACATTTTACAAAGAATTGATGTCTTTCAAAATACGGTACTTCGCTTTATGTTATAGAAGAGAATATCTCAGCAACAAATTTCTAATAAAAGTCAGATGTACAAACCCTACCTTGTATGCTATTGTAAATTAAATCATTTTGATTTAACACAAAAATATTGGATACATAAATAATCTCCTCCACTTTGTGAAGCTTTTAGAAATATTAGCAATTATGAGGATCTCATCAGTATAGATCAGTGCTTAGATTTTGAGGATTTCTTTGCCTTTTTTAACGATGTTAATGTTATACAACCAATTTATCATGAAAATCATAAAATAAGTTCCAATATTTTTAACTCACGACTAGAAAACTGGCCTGATTCTGCAAAGATCTACACAGATGCTTCCAAATCTTCAACTGGTACAGAATGTGCCTTTTTCATACCTTCTACATCTACAGAGAACGTTTTTAAATTATCATCAAATTTTTCAATATTTAGTGCCGAAGCAATTGCTATATATGAAGCTATAAAATACTTTAAAATATCTAATAATAATGCTGCAGTTATTTTATCTGATTCCTTGTCTGTATTACTTGCTATTCAAAGCCCAAAGCTTCCTTCCAATTCATCAAATGCTTACATTTTGCTCATTAAAAAGATACTATTCGAAATCCATAATACATCGAAAACGGTTCAATTAATATGGTTTAAAGCACAAGGGCTCAATTATAATGAATATGTAGATTTATGGGTAAAAGCGCAACTACCAATCTCTCACCGACAAGTTATCAGCTGTGCAATTTGGATGCTTTTGCAATTGAGAAACAACATCAAATGGAAAAGTGGAGAAAATCTTGGACAGACTTTTGCAAAACCACTACAACTCAATATTCAAAAATACAACCAAAAATTCCGAATATGCATTGGTTTAAAAACTATTCACTTCCTCGAAAGTATATCACAACTATCATTAGATTGAAATTTGAACATGCATGTTATCCAGCACATTTATTTAAAATCCATGTTATAGATTCGGAGATATGTACAATGTGTCAAGAGAAAGGCGATCTAAATCATATTTTCTTTAGTTGTGCAAACTATACCCAACAATCTCAAGATCTGATACAGGATCTAATTAAAAATAATATATTTCCTCCATTTAACATTGGCCATCTCCTCTCACTTAATCAAAAAAAAATTACGACCTCTTGATAAAATTTGTGTATGAAAGTAAAGTATGTTTGTAATTAATATTAGACTTGCAATCTATTTTCTAACCCAATTTTAATACAGTGTGTCCGTAAAGTATGGAACAAATTCATTTTTAGCTAAACAGACCATTTTAAGAAATAATCCTGAAACACGTCGATTTTTGATTTTAATTTACCGTATTTTAAAATAATAATCTAATATGTAGGGTGAATTACTTTCGAGTAATGACGTCACCCTCATTTTTTTTAAATGGAACACCCCCATTTTGTCTCAATTTTCGGATTACTCTAGCTGAGCTGATTCCAAAAATGTATCACATGTTGATTCCAATTGGTACAGGGTGGGCAAAAATACAATAGTTTTGTGTGTGCTCATAAAGTAACGCGTAACATTATTTATTAGTTAAATTAACAATATTATCAAAAATACTTATTGTCTAGCGGATAGAATATGATGAAATACATGACTTTATAAATGTTCGAACTGCAGCCCTTGCTGTATTTGACAGTAACCCAAACGGTGTACAAATTCTTGTTGAACCTTGTTCATTGTGTCTTGAGAAATAAAATAATCCAAAGGATTGAAATCTGGTGACCTCGCTGTCGGGATCATCTTCGTTTAATTCCTGCACAAGTTGGATTTTATAAGGAAGCCATTTTTCAAGCTTTAACAGTTTTTGTACCGTTGTTTTGCTAACACCGATATCGCGACTAACTTTACGCACAGAAGTATGCGCGTCTTCTTCAAAACTAAGTAAAACATCTAATGCTGTATCAGCATTTGCAGAGGGACGATCTGATCTGATTTGCGTACATTTTCAACCGTACCAGTTTCTCGAAATTTCTTTTCAATCTTACTGACTGTTGAACGCGTTATAGGTCTTTCTGGATATTTATCATTAAACAAATTGCACACTTCCATCTGAGTTCGCGATCTGTCTCCATACCCAATCATCATAAGTATTTCAATTTTTTGTTTTACACTTACTCCATTTCTAATTCAAATTAAATCTAAGCAATAATTAAAACATTCACGAATACCAAAAATATTGTAGTACTAAACTGTCACTGAAAATCAATAAATTACTAAACAAATAATAACATTTCAAAAAAAACTAGACGACTATGTTTTTTCAAAATTGATAAGAAATAATTTCTTTCATATTCTGTCTGATAGACCACAAGTCCACCATGTACCAATTGGAATCAACATGTGATACATTTTTGGAATCAGCTCAGCTAGAGTAATCCGAAAATTGAGACAAAATGGGGGTGTTCCATAAAAAAAAATGACGGTGACGTCATTACTCGAAAGTAATTCACCCTGTATATTAGATTATTATTTTAAAATACGGTAAATTAAAATCAAACATCGACGTGTTTCAGGATTATTTCTTAAAATGGTCTGGTTAGCTAAAAATTAATTTGTTCCATACTTTACGGACACACTGTATACACCGTAGCCTAGTTTTGTGTGTCAAAAAAATGTCTTGGCGGGCCCCTAGACAAGAAGAAATGTTTTCCCTTGTTTATTCCTTGCTTGCTTTATCTTCTTTTATATATTTTTCTTCTTTTCTTACTTAGGACAAAAGTGTGTATGATTGAATGATTGTATTTAGAGTGATAATGCAATTAAACTTTATAATATATTTCGCGACTGGCTGAATGGCAAGTGCCCAAGCCATAAAAAAAAATAACGAATATCGATATAAAAACGTAAAACAGAGTGTGTGTGAACAAATCTTAGTTTACTGTAGATGCAAAATACAAAATATCTTAAGAGTACTTTTCCAGTACTAAATTGTTAATAATCTTGTGTGCTTCTAAAGAATTTTTGCAGCATTTGCAAGTGACGGGCAATTGTATGCCTGAAAATCGTCGGCCGCCTGGACATCGTTCATATATCATTATGTACGATGGCCTGGACGCGGGGATGCCGGCAGGGTGGTCTGACACAAATGCTGTGCCGACACTTAAAGTACTGATCACATCTATTGTGCCAGTGTTGGGCCACTAATGTGTCTTTGCTGGGCCATTGGTTTTAATATTTAGTAGAAATTGAGTTTAAGATAGTTTCTCTAGGTTAACATCCTCTTTCCACCTTCACATTCTCGATAAGTTTTAATGAATCCTTCTAAATTCATTAAAATTGTGCAACAAACAATTTTTCTATTAAAACAACGTGCTATTTATGTACTTGGTAAATATGCACATGTTCCTTTAACAAGATTAAATCCACCTATTTACTAAGGATTCATTTTCCGATTCTATTGTATTTCATTTCATTCAAAAATTTCGTTACAACGACAGAAATAACTTTAAATCGTAGATGAGTTTACACATCTCTTTAGTATTGTTTATTATTTTTATTTCTAAAGTTGACAGTCAGTTCAACGACATTTGTGGCCCAAATAATGGAAAACGATTTTATTTGGAACCAGGCGAAAACGGATCTTTATTGGGGGATATCAAACATAATGTTTTTGTTCAAAGCAAAAATATTAGTATGTACAATAAATGTACAGTAGAATTTATTACTTGTCCTTCTTGTGTGATAGAAGTTCAATTTAGGTAAGTGATTTTAATTCATTTTATAGTGTAACGTTTAGAGACTGGCATAAATGTATATTCAATTTGATACAACAATTGCGTTATCTATTTCAACTGCTTATTGCCATTTAGCTAATTTTTTAAATTTCTTTTTCCAATTAACAATTTTTCATTGTATCTGTTGACAATGTGTGAAATTACTATAATCAAGAGAAGAAAGGAGTGCAGTAATTTAATTTGCAGAGCGTAGTACAGGTTCAAGAAGTAGACATTTTATTTATACCTCATCTTTCAATGCTTGTTTGTAGTTAAAATGAAAATTTTTAATACATCTGATCGGCCTAATAAAAGTTTTTGTTTAGATTTAATAATGTTTCCATGGTTTTTACGCTTATAAACCTTTTATTTTGACAGATAAGTCAGACTTTATTCATAGCCGTATCGTATGTATTTTAATTGATTCGGAATTTTGTACTAGTACATATTATAATTTTACAGTTATACAGGGTGTCTGTAAAAGGTCTTATACCACATATTGCTTAGACCAAAATAAGTTGATTTAAGTAAAATTACCTTAGTACAAAGTTGCTTCGTTTGGGCTCCAGAGGGCCTTGAAGTTACAATTTTTAAATCGTTTTTCTCATATAAATTTAAGACGGCATATGCGATTTTGCTGAAATTTGGTATATTGGTAGAATTTTATGTGGCAAAAAAAATGATATTAAAATTTGGTCCGATAATAATACATAGGCGTAGAACTTGTTTTTTTAAATAATTGCACCTTTAAAAATTCTACGCCAATGGAAGAAAAGGAGTTTGAGTATGAAATTTAGATTGCGCAACTCATTTAATTTAAAAAAGGTACTCTTGATAAGACTCGATTACTCTCATGGTTTTCGCTAAATTTCTGTTTTAATAATTTAGAGTGTATAGGTTTCACAAAAATATTTATTTACAACATAATCAAAATAGAAAGTTTACAAAAATTGTTCAAAATGTTTACCATTTTCACGCATACAAAGATTTATACGTCGAAGAAAATTAAAATGTATCCTTTCCATAACTTCTTCATCACCTCTAAGATTGTTTATTGCATCTTGAATACGTTGCCAGAGTTGTTCCTCATTTTCTACAGGTAAACTGTGGATTTCAGGTGTCTCCAAAAAAGTAATCCATCGGTGTTAGGTCTGGGGAACGTGGTGGCCAGTTTACAGGTGCGTCATTACCTCTGCCTATCCATTTGTGTGGATATTGTTCATTCAAGTGGTTTCTAACGTTTAAAGAAAAATGTGGTGGAGCTCCATCTTGCATAAACCACATATCTCTCTGAAGTTGGAGAGGTAAATCTTCTAAAAATTCTGGCAACGTATTTTGTAGAAAATCCAAATAATTTTCTCCAGTTAATCTTCGTGGAAGTATGACAGGACCAACAATGAAATTACCAATTATTCCAGCCCACACATTAATTTTGAATTCGTGCTGAAAATGGTTTACCTTTATTGCATGCGGATTTTCAACGGCATAAACATGTTCATTATGGGTATTAGTTATACCTCTTCTTGTAAAACCCGCTTCATCGGTAAAGAGAACCTTCTTGACAAAGTTTAGATCTCTTTCTCTTTGCATATTAACAAATCGACAAAAACCCAAACGAATTTGAGTATCATGGACTAATAATTCTTGTACTGGCTTCTTATGGTATGGATATAGCAATTGTTGTCTAAGCACTTTATGAACGACATCTTTACTTACTCCTATTTCCCTTCCAATTCGTCTGGTGCTTAATTCTGGATCTTCTTCAACACGTTCTAAAATGTCTTCTTCAACTTCAGGAATCCTTACAAAACGTTCTCTTCCATTATCAACAGTGTTGGGAGCAAAGGAACCGGTCTACCGAAGACGTCTCTCAACAGCAGCAAAAGTTGGGTGGTTAGGTACACGACGATTTGGAAACCTTTTAGAGTACACCCTGATACTCTCTCGAGCATTTCCTTCACAAAATCCTAATGTCAGTAACATATCGGTATTCGGTATATTCTGCATTGGTATATTGTACAGCCATATTAAAAAAGCACGCATTTGTTTTTTTCAATTATTGATGAGACAGATAGAACACTTTCAATCGTTAACAAGAGATTAGGTGTTAAAACTTGACAATATTTTTATTTAGATGAAACTATGGAAACCAACAATAAATGTTTTTGTATACGTATTAGGCATTCCAAACAAATGAATTACCAGTGGGCAGGTTTGGTATATCTAAGGGTGGCGACATATGGTGTATTCTATCTACTTTACGTAAAATCATGAATAATGGATTACATTTAACTATTTTATGTCAAACACAATAAAAATAATATTTAAAAAACCCACCTATACATTTCTTCATAAATTGGCAGGCTAGGCGAGTACTACTTCGAATAAAAATAGCGTCCAAGTTGCAAGACTATGTCGCTACCCCCTTAAATATACAAGAATTTCCCACTGGCACCTATTGTTTGACAGGTCGTTGGAATGCCTAATTGCAGGCAAATAATTAATATTCCTCAAAAAATCGTACATGGCAAGAATCGAGTATTTTTGTTAAAAGTCTCGATTAGAGGTGTTGAAGAAGATATGAAAAAAGTACATTTTTATGTTTTTCATCGTATAAAATTTTGTCCGATAATAATACATAGGCGTAGAACTTGATTTTTTAAATAATTGCACCTTTAAAATTTCTACGCCAATGGCAGAAAAGGGGTTTGATTATGAAATTTGGATTGGGTACTCATTTACTACAAAAAAGTACCCTTGATAACACTCGATTTACTCTCATGGTTTTGACAAAGTTTGTATTTTAATAATTATTGTTTATGTTCTAAAATTACTAAAATGCAAATTTCGTCAAAACCATGAGAGTAATCGAGTCTTATCAAGAGAACCTTTTTTAAAGTAAATGAGTTGCGCAATATAAATTTCATACTCAAACAAACTCCTTTTCTTCCATTGGCGTAGAATTTTTAAAGGTGCAATTATTTAAAAAATCAAGTTCTACGCCTATGTATTATTATCGGACAAAATTTTAATACCATTTTTTTGCCACATAAAACTCTACCAATATACCAAATTTCAGCAAAATCGCATATGCTGTTTTAAATTTATATGGGAAAAACGATTTAAAAATTGTAACTTCAAGGCCCTCTGGAGCCCAAACGAAGCAACTTTGTACTAAGGTAATTTTACTTAAATCGACCTATTTTCGTCTAAGGAATATGTGGTATGTTTTTGTAAAGACCTTTTACAGACACCCTGTATAAGAATGGCAAGTGCATTAGAAAATATTTCAAGCACAAGTACGAGTAAACGACTTGGTGGATATAAAACACTCTTTAGAAAAAAAGTATCCTACTTAATGTATTTAATAATCTTATTGTCCGAAAAAAGGAATTGAAATTCTCAGATTGCCTCCTTACCACAAAGAGTTAAATCTCATTGAACTGATCTGGTCACAATTAAAAGGTTATGCTTCTCGAAACAATACAACATTTAAATTACTTGATGTGCGAAATTTGTTTTTGAAGGAAGTTTCTGATGTAAATGGAAAACATTGGAGAAAATACATTGGACATGTTAAAAAGGTGGAAAATTCATTTTGGAAAGTGGATATATCAACTTAACATATCCTATAATAATAACACTCAGAAAAGACAATGATAATAGTACCAGTAGTTATAGAGAAGACAGTGACTTTTAAAGATAGTTCTTGAACTTTAATTTTTTTTTAATCTTTGATTTTAGGCTGAATTGTTACTTAAAATGACGAGATTAAAAAAGTCTAATCCCATTAACAACGCATAATCCTCCTAGTTATTTATTGGTTAAATTTAATTCGTTCAATGTTAAAGTGCAAGAATTTTGTCAGAAGCATAAGGTTTATTTTTATTTTTTGTAAATAATATAACTTCTTTCATTCAAAATTTAATCTACGAAGTGCGTATACAGGGTTGGGCATAATTGGCGGAACACCCGATTTGTGGCTCAATTATGGATTGTATTGAAAATTAACCCAAATAAAGTTTTTTGTATATTTTATGTACTATTTAATGACGCTTGGGGATTTTCATTATCTGTCATATTTATCAAGATATGACGTCATCGGATGAAATTTTAAATGAATCACCCTATATTTATATTTTTTTTCAGATAGATCTTTTCTTTCTGAATCCATCAATATGGGGTTCGGGTGGTCTCTGATTTTCCTTATCATCAGAAAATAATAAAACAAAATGGTAAACGTTCTTTTAAATAATTAATGAATAACTATTCACAAAGTTGTCTGTGCCATCATAATGTACCAATATCAATTGTTTTGCCATGGTTTCACTTTTTGACATTAAAATGTAATATTGACATCTCGATATTAATCACTGAGTTTTATTAATACGATTATTGTACATCTCTGACAGAAATACCTACCAATGTTTTTGTGTTACTGTTTACTTGGTTTTTATAATATTATAAAAACTATTGTCACCTTTTATTAATCTGTAGATTTTAATTCATTCTGGTTTATGGAGACAATCAAACAAGTTGAGTTTAATTGCAAGTCAATTCATTTCACCCAAACTAGCCCAATACGCGAAAATAAATAACTCTTAGCATTTGATACTATTGAGAATTTTTATTAATTTAAACCATGGTTGAACTGAGTGAACGTGAAAGAATTACACTATTGATGATTATTGGGTTTGGAGACAGAAAGAGATCTCTGCAAGAAGCTTGTAATTTGTTCAATGAAACATTTCCTGACAGGATTTCCCCGATTTCTAAATCTACAGTATCCAGAAATTTGAGCAAGTTTAATGAAACAGGAAGTGTGAAAAATAATCCCAGATCTGGACGGAAGAAGACAGCCACTGATGAAGAAAATGCACTAAATGTGGTTCTAAGTGTACAGGAAGAACCAAAAACTTCAGTTCCAAAGCTTGCGTTAGACAATAATATGAGCGAGAGATCTGTAAGGAGGATTCTGAAAGTCA